CACATGGTTCCTTTTGAGAATATGCATAGAATCAATTTCTGAGTTGATTTACGCATGTCCGTCCGTCTGCCCATCCATGTATTTTTGTGAACAAAGTACAGGTCGCATTTATGATCCGATTTGGATGAAATTTGACATAGGCCACTTATTTGGCCCAAGGACGCACCCCATTGAAATTTGGAAAAATCGGTTCAGATTTAGATATAGCTACATTTTCGTTCGATTTAATGTAAATGGTGCACCAAAGTCCCTATATATCTTTCGATTTGTACAAAATTTGGCACAGCGTAATGAATTAGGTCTGGAATAATGTGTGTTAAGTTTCGTGAAAATCGGTTCAGATTTAGATATAGCTCCTATATATATTTTCGTCCGATTTAATGTAAATGGTGCACCAAAGTCCCTATATATCCTTCGATTTGCACGAAATTTGGTGTATTGAGTAATGAATTGTGTGTGTGTATAAAACTTCTTGAAAATCGCTTCAGTTTAGATATAGCTCCCTTATATATGTTCGACCGATTTAATGTAAATGTGGTACCAAAGTCCCTATATATCTTCCGATTTAAACGAAATTGGGCACAGCGTAATGAATCAGGTCTAGAATTATGTGTGTTAAGTTTCGTGAAAATCGGTTGAGATTTAGATATAGCTCCCATATATATGTTCGACCGATTTAATGTGAATGGGGTACCAAAGTCCCTATATATCTTCCGATTTGCACGAAATTGGGCACAACGTAATGAGTTAGGATGATGTGTGTTAAGTTTCGTGAAAATCGGTTCAGATTTAGATATAGCTTCCATATATAGTTTCGTCCGATTTTAGGTAAATAGTGCACCAAAGTCCCTATATATCCTTCGATTTGCACGAAATTTGGTGTAGAGTAATGAATTGAGTCTAGAATGGTGTGTGTAAAACTTCTTGAAAATCGCTTCAGATTTAGATATAGCTCCCTTATATATGTTCGACCGATTTAATGTAAATGGGGTACCAAAGTCTCTATATATCTTCCGATTTACACGAAATTGGGCACAGCGTAATGAATCAGGTCTAGAATTATGTGTGTTAAGTTTCGTGAAAATCGGTTCAGATTTAGATATAGATCCCATATATATTTTCGTCCGATTTAATGTAAATGGGGTACCAAAGTCCCTATATATCTTCCGATTTGCTCGAAATTGGGCACAGCGTAATGAATTAGGTCTAGAATGACGTGTGTTAAGTTTCGTGAAAATCGGTTCAGATTTAGATATAGCTTCTATATCTGACCAAAGTAAAAATTTAGTATCGGTTGCAGAACGAAATGTTTTTGGATCCAATTTCATTTTACTGGTTCTTTAAAAATGCGATGTCTGTTAGGTTATCCTCATTATTCGGTATTTTGGGACCATTGGACATGAACACAAGTTCTTTTTGGGTGTCAAATCTTCCTATCAAAAAAGTTTAATTTCGATCGACGGTATTTCGATTTGATTTTTTGCAAAAGAACCGCTTCATTTTCAGCATTTTGAAGGTTTAAGCCGAATTCCTTCACCGAAGTGGTTATAATTCTCATAGATTGAAACGCATTTGGGCAGAATAGTTTCTATATAAGTTCAAGTTTTAATATGCCTGACATAATATGGCATTCCGCGTTCTCATAGAGTGCAAAAATCTTTCCATAATAACTTCGATGTGAACCAATATTGTAATTTTCTGTGTTTTCCATGTTTTAGCAGTAATTTGACATTCCGTTTTTATGGTGAATAACAAATTTGGTTCCTAATTGTTTTCAAAGCAGGTCCTTGCTTTCACATAACTCCTGTGCAAAAGGTCCCGCTTAATTTTCGGTACGTTAAAGTTCCTATGTCAGTTTTCCAACCTTTTGGTAGTTCTTTTTCCCAAGGTAATAATTTATTCTCAATTTTCTTGTTTTAAATTTCGTATTCACCAAAATTTGTTATTAATTCCCCCATTATTTCTTTTAAATCAATTTCTATAATAATAATTACTATAAAAATATTCCTGACTTTTAAATCACCTCTAAAAATATAAAAAAGTAATTTTCTTTGGGGAAAATTTTTTTTAAAAAAATCTTCGCATTTAATTTTACTCTCCATAATATTGACACTTTAAATATTTGTTTGTGAAAAAATATTTTTAAAATATCCCTCGCTCTCCCAAATATATATCTTTTTTGATATATATTCACAATATCATTGTGAACAAGTTTATAAGAAATCGGACAGTTTTTCGTACCATTTCAACATTCAGGTTTCCATCACTGTTTTGTGAGTCGCACCCCATTAAGAAAACATTTCGAGAGAGAACATTTCATTCATAAATTTGTTGACCATAATCAGTAGAAATGCCGGCAATGTTAGTTCGGATTTATCTGGTAAAAAAGTTATTAAATATTTTTTATCTTTATGTTTATTGCTAAATTCATTTCTTCATTAATAAAAATTATGAAAATATTCAAGAAAATACTCACAAAACTATTTTATTCTTAATTTTCCAAAATGTTAGACCACCTGTTGTTTTGAATGTTTTTGGGTTTCGTAAACAATGTTGCCATACATTTGAGGATATTGCCAACCATATTATATTATTTCAACAGCATTGCCAACTATGCAATGATTTTTCACAATATTGCCAGCATTGATAAATCAAGTGCAATTTTAAATTGTAAAAGAAGCAGCATTGCCCCCATGGAGAATTTAGATTTTGAATTATTTTTTGGGTAGAAATTTAAATAGGAACGATTGACGTGGTCTTTTTTTTAATAATGTTTGAGGTCAAAAGATAGTCGTTGATTTATTTAGAATTATTGAGGACAAAAAATAGACGTGGCTTTTTAAAATATATTTATGGGGTCTATAAATTGGCGTGGATTTTTTAAAATATATTTATGAGGTCTAATAATAGCCGTGGTTTTTTTATACCCTTCACCACACTGTGGTACAGGGTATTATGTCTTTGTGCATATGTTTGTAACAGGCAAAAGGAAACGAGATAGGCCCATGGTTCCGTTTGAGAATATGCATAAAATCACTTTCTGAGTCGATTTATGCATGTCCGTCCGTCCGTCTGTTGATGATAAATTGTAAACAAAGTACAGGTCGCATTTATCATCCAATTTGAATGAAATTTGGCACAGCTCATTTATTTGGCCCAGCGACGAACCCTATTGAAATTGGAAAAAATCGGTTCATAATTAGATATAGCTCCCATATATATTTTCGTCCGATTTAGGGTAAATGGTACACCAAAGTCCCTAAATATTTTTCGATTTGCACGAAATTTGGCATAGCGTACTAAATTGAGTCTATAATAAAGTGTGCTAAGTTTCGTGAAAATCGGTTCAGATTTAGATATAGCTCCCATATATATTTTCGTCCGATTTTATGTAAATGGAGCACCAAAGTCCCTATATATCTTTCGATATGCACGAAATTTGGCATAGCGTATTCAAGTAGGCCTAAAATGACGTACGTGAAGTTTCGCGAAAATCGCTTCAGATTTAGATATAGCTCCCATATATATTTTCGTCCGATTTAAGGTATATGGTGCGCCAAAGTCCCTAAATATTTTTCAATATGCACGAAATTTGGCACAGCGTAATGAATTAGGTCTAAAATGATGTGTGTTAAGTTTCGTGGAAATCGGTTCAGATTTAGATATAGCTCCCATATATATTTTCGTCCGATGTTATGTAAATGGTGCAACAAAGTCCCTATATATTTTTCGATATGCACGAAATTTAGAATAGCGTTCTAAATTATGTTTAGAATGATGTGTGCTAAGTTTCGTGATAATCGGTTCAGATTTAGATATAGCTTATTTTATATTTTCGTCCGATTTAATGTAAATGGTGATCGAACGATATATAGGGACGAAAGATATATAGGGACTATATATCATTCGTTCCATTTCATGTCAATATTGGTCCTAGACCCACCTTTAAGTATACCGATCGTCATATCTCGACTAGCTGAGTCGATCTAGACATGTGTGTCCGTCCGTCTGTCCATTATAATTTCTAAACACGATACAGGCCACAGTTATGGACCACTCTTCACGAAATTTTGCATGTAGAATGGGTTCTGGCCAATGAAGACCCCTAATGTTTTTCGTAAAGATCGGTTAATATTTTGGGGATGAAATGGACCAACAACTTTATTTTGGTCTGAATTTCTGGTCGCTCCAGACGCCGCAATTATGGTCCAAACATCGAGAAAATTTACATGGAGAAGGCTATCGAGCCAAAGAATAAGCATGCCTGTTTTGATGAAGATCGGTCAATATTTAGCGGGACAAATGGACCCTGAGTTTTGTGTGACAAATTACAAAAATTGTATTCTATAGCGTATTAATTTACTCCTGAAGGACATAGACTCGAAAAGTTGATAGTATATCTAAGAGGAGTGATTGGCATTTAAATTGGATTAAATTAAATTGATTGATTGTCGTATGTACTCGGATGTGGGAGTTACACTTAAATATTTACAGGTGCTTCCGTACTGAGATATTATTTAATAACCAATTTCCACACTGGAAGGCGGAAATATAGCTCTGATCGGTTTGAAATTTTCCACGAGGGTCCAGGTATGGTTAAAGACAACGCCTATAATTTTCCGTGATGATTAGATAATAATTTTGGGATGAAGTGGACCGAAAAGTTATTTTTTGTGTGTTTTTCGAGTCGACAATTATAAGCCGAACATCACAACACAGCCCACGGTGAAGGGAATCTGGACAAGTAATTAGAGGGGATGTACTAAATATTAGTAATATTCGGAATATATGTCTGTGTAGGAAGAGGTGCTGTTGACCTCTAATCGGGCAATAGGGTGCAAATATCGCGAACTGTTGCCCAGGCTCAGAATAAACATCCGCAGAAAGTTAGTGTTTCGTGCAAGTTGTGTAGGGTATCGTATGGTCGGCCCCGTCCGACTATACTGCTCCGCTCATTGGTTTAAAAATAATTTTGTGGTCTATGATTAAATGGATTTTATTTAAATATTTTTAAGTTCTAAATTTAGAAATGGATTTATTTAAAAAAATTTTTTTTCTCAAAATGGATTTTTATTAAAATGTTTACACAAACTACCATTAAACGAACGCCGCTCATACTCCTGAATTTTATCCACAATACAATCGTTGATAACTTCTTTGACATTTGTTGCCAATACCAAATCAAAATGATTATATTTTGGATATTGGATTCGATACAATTTCGTGCGATTCCCCAGAATCTGGAACATATGCTGGACATCTTTCAGGGACACAAAGTAATCATTGTCGGCATAGAATATATTGATGGGTGTCTCAAGATGAATCTTCTCCAATTTATAGCTGGGTGGTTGGGGTTGTCCATACCGCTTCATATTTCCTCTACGGCCAAAATCAAATTTTCGAAATTCACAATAGATTATGGATTGAAAGAAATGCATTGTCTGAAGGTTGCCGGCAACGGACGGGGTTGCTCTCAAAAAGTCACCTAAGAGGGTCTGAGGGGGAAATTATTAAGTGGGCTAATTTTGTAGTAGAATGCTATAAGACTCACCCTATTAAAGTACGGAGAATCCCAGCCGGCAACAAAATTCAAGATCATAATGCAGGGTGTTTCAAACAATTTGCATATGGGCGGGGCTATGGTATTTAAAAATCGATCCACCAAGTGGCTGGAGAATATACCCATCCACGACATTGCTGGCCTGGCCAAAACCACGGCACGACTTAAAATCGGCAACGATTTGAGATGACATAAAAATGCACCTTGGCTCAGGAAGTGAGTGGTTTTGATTTTCTCGCCATACTCAGGCATTTCGGAAAGTAAAATAGCAAACAAGGCAGTACCCTGAGAGTAGCCGACATAATGTAAATTCGGTTGTCCCGTCAGGGTTGTAATATAATCGATTTTGGCAGCCAAATCATAACGACCCAATTCATCCAATGTAAAATTCCAAAATGATAGAGACCATGGAGATCGTTCGACATGGCGTTGCGAATAAATATTCCCACGTACATTACCCAACCAAACATCATAACCATAATCCGCCAACATAAAGGGTAGACCATTATCGGGTCCATTTAAGAGAAAAATATCCGAGGAACAGAATAGACAATGCATGAGCAGGACAGGTGGTTTATTTGGGATATTTTTATTCTGCGCCACCGGGGAATAAGGGATGCGGAACATTGTCAGCAAATAACCGTCTGCGGTTAGAACGGTGTGTTCTTCACAGGGGTAGCCGTGGTCAGTAATCAGGTCACACTGTGCGGGAGTAAATTAAATTAAATGCTTATATTTGTATTTAAAATTAAATAGAGACACTTACTTTGGTTTTACGCTTTTGTCGATCATTTAATATTAATATGATTAACAAAAATATACTGAGCGTCCAGTAGAATTTCATACTTCGACGAATCGTTTGCTGTGAGATACATTAAATAATTTTGCAATTGTTTTCAATAAGCATTCATATTTTGTCTGGTAGAACCTGTTTCCTGTAGATGTTTCTTTCAAGCTGTGATTTAAAATTAACCCATTAAGTTCACACAGCTATGAAAAGAAACCCACGAATTGTATTACTTACTTAGCTGGCTTGTGACAGAACTTTCGTTCCGTAAGCCGAGCTTAAAAAAGATTTCCAGGCGGGTCGGTCTTTTGCGCAGTTTTTCCAATTTGAAAGTCCATATTTGGCAATGTTGTCTTCCACTTGAGCTTTTCATCTTATTCGTGGCCTTCCCCTTCTGCGTGAACCACCAGCTGGTTCGCTTTTATATGCCTTCAGGGCTGGGGCATCTTCATCCATTCTCACAACATGACCTAGCCAACGTAGTCGCTGCAGCTCAATACGTCTAACAATGTCGATGTCCGAGAATAGCTGGTAAAACTCATGGTTCATTCGACGGCGATATTCACCGTCAACTCAGACACTCCAAGAGCTGCCTCATCTGCTTGCGTAGATTCATATAACATCACGGGTAGTATCAGCGTCTTGTAGAATGTGTGTTTGACCGGGAGATGGCCTTGCTTTTGAATTGTTTGCTCAGACCATAGTAGCATCGGTTGGCCAACACGATCCCTCTCCGAATTTTAAAACTTTTATCATTCGTTTTACTTATGGCGGTACCAAGGTATATAAAATATTTGACTACCTCGAAGCTGTAGTTCTCAAGTTCCACATTTGGTCCGAGTCTACTGGACGTCTTGCGCGTTAATACCATCAGCTTGGTCTTCTCGCTGTTTACTGCCAGACCCACTTTGGCAGAAAAGGATGTTAAAAAGGTCACACTACAAACTGTCACCTTGTCTGAATCCTCGTTCGGTATTAAGGAGCTACGAGAGGTCCTTTCCGACTTTAACTGCTGATCTTGTGCCACTTAAAGTTATCCTGCGCGTTAATACCATCAGCTTGGTCTTCTCGCTGTTTACTGCCAGACCCACTTTGGCAGAAAAGGATGTTAAAAAGGTCACACTACAAACTGTCACCTTGTCTGAATCCTCGTTCGGTATTAAGGAGCTACGAGAGGTCCTTTCCGACTTTAACTGCTGATCTTGTGCCACTTAAAGTTATCCTGCATAGCCAAATTAATTTTGCATTAATGCCAAACGCAGACAAGGCCTTAAACACCTCTGAACGGATAGGGCTGTCGAATGTGGCTTTATAGTCAACGAATAGGTGGTATGTGTCGATGTATTTTTCGTGGGTCTTTTACAGGATTTGGCGCAGAGTGAAAATCTGGTCAATGGTGGATTTGCCAGGTCTGAAGCCGCATTGGTATGGTCTAATAATGTCACTGACCATTGGCTTCAGTCGTTCACACAGCACGCTGGATAACACTTTATATGCGATGGGAAGGAGACTTATTCCACTATAGTTGGCACATATCGTATTGTCTCCTTTTTTGTGCACGGGACGCAGGATGTTGAGTTTCCAATCATTGGGCATGCATTCTTCTAGCCAAATTGTACTAATCAGCTGTTGCATGCTCCTTACCAACATCTGACCACCAGTCTTGAATAGTTCGGCTTGTAACCCATCGGCACCTGCTGCATTATTATTCTTCTGCCAATTGATTGCTATTCTGACCTCATCCTGGTTAGGTGGTATACACTCTATACTATAGACATCGAACATGTCGTATGGTTTGCAATGCTTTAACATATACGATCTGTACCGAGAGAACGAAAATTACTCTCCCAACGGCTCTATGCGTGTGTCCAACACAATCATAGCAGTTTGCATATGTATTGTTGGCTAACCCTGCTCTATAGCATCATCTCTTATTGGTTCTGGGGTATCTTCTTCATCGTTACGATTTGATAGCAGAAGTTCATTGAAATGCTCCTTCCTGATCCTCAGCACCCTGTCTGTATATGTCACCAGGTTTCCTTCTTCATCTCTACAGGAGGATGTGCTTCATTCTTTTTCTTGTTCTTCTTTTTTTCTGAAAATACGTTTCTCCTCTCTCCTTTTCTCCCGATAGTTCTCCATGCATTTTTCATATCAGTAGCATTACGACACTCCTTATCGTACCACAGAATTCTTGATGGTGGTTTTTGGTACCCAAGTTTTGCTTTTGGTGGGAGTGGGCAATTCTCTGCCACTGTTCTTCTATATTATTATCTGGACAAGGGGTGCTTTCGTCAAGCAGTTGGGTAAGTTGAGCGGAGTATAAAATACTGGATGAATGCCTTCTGTCTATCACAACATGATCGATTTGATTTCTCGTTATTCGATCGGGTGAAATCCAAGTGGCCTTGTATATATCGAGATGCTTGAGTCTGGTGCTGCTAACTACCATGTTTTTTGCTGCCTCCAAGTCAATCAACCTCATGCCGTTGTCTGGTGTTTCTTCATGGTGGGACCAAATATATTTTCCATTCCGATTTTTGCATTAAAATCTCCTAGCAGAATTTGAATGTCATGGCCAGGGCAACGGTCATATGCTGTGTCTAGGCGCTCGTAAAATATGTCTTTGGTCTGTTCTTCTTTATCTTCGGTCGGAGCATGGGCGCAAATGAGACTGATGTAGAAGAACTTCGCTTTTATACGGATTTTAGCAATTCACTCATCTACTGGAGTGAATCTGGTGGCGAGGTCTTTTATTCTCCTATTGACCATAAATCCGCAGACAAATTCACGTCTAGTTTCATGGCAGCTATAATACAGTGCTTAATTATCTGATTTACTTACGCCAGTCCCTTTCCCTTTGTACTTCTTGAGTACATCCGCCAAGGCGAAAACTGCGCCTGTTCTGTACAACGTGCGCACATTCCAAGTGCAGATTCGCAAATCGTGGTCCTTTATACGTTTGCGGGGGGTCGTCAACATTAGAGGGGTTTGGTTTTCTTTTTCTTTGCTTTTTATAGCCTACACAACTATGTTGTCAGGGTATTATAGCTTTGTGCAGCCCCAAGAGTTTGTAACCCGCGAAATATTGGTCCTAGACCCACCTTTAAGTATAGCGATCGTCATATCTCGACTAGATGAGTCGATCTAGACATGTGTGTCCGTCCGTCTGTCCATTATAATTTGTAAACACGATACAGGCCTCAGTTATGGACCAATCCTCACAAAATTTGACATGTAGGATGGGTTCTGGCCAATAAAAACCCCTATTGTGTTGTTCTTATGGGTGAACTCGCTGCACATATTAGCTCACTATTTCATCGAGTGATGAAAATAGTTACCTCATGTAACATCGCGGGGAGGTCAGTGTCCACAATTGAGATGAAAGAGGGACCAAGATAAGCCTGGGCTTCGCAATGTTAAAGCCAATCAGAGCCGTTGCTTGGTATCTATCATCCCCCACGTCACCCCGTCTATTATTAGCCTTGAAAAAAAGAAATAATCTAAAAAAAAATCCACTCCTATTAGCCCTTAAATAATAATTTTAAAAAATCTACGCCTAGAATGAACCCCTCAAATATTAATTTAAAACCAGTAAGGAATGTAGTAAAGTCGGACGGGCCGACTATATGATACCCTTCACCACTTTGGGTATATTCAACAGATGAATCCTAACAGACGTCGCATTTTTAAAGGACCAGTAAAATGAAATTGGATGCATAAACATGTCATTCTGCAACCGATATAAACAATTTTCATTTGGTCAGATATAGAAGCTATATCTAAATCTGAACCGATTTCAGGAAACTTTACTCACATCATTCTAGACCTAATTTATTACGCTGTGCCACATTTCGTGCAAACCGAAAGATATTAAGGGACTTTGGTACACCATTTACCTTAAATCGGACGGAACTAAATATAGGAGCTATATATAAATCTGAACCGATTTTCACGAAACTTAACACACATCATTCTAGACCTAATTCATTACGCTGTGCCAAATTTTGTGCAAATCGAGATATATATAGGGACTTTGGTGCACCATTTACATTAAATCGGACGAAAATATATATGGGATCTATATCTAAATCTGAACCGATTTTCAGGAAACCTAACACACATCATCTGAACCGATTTCCACGAAACTTAACACACATCATTCTAGACCCAATTCATTACGCTGTGCCAAATTTCGTGCAAATCGAAAGATATTAAGGGACTTTGGTACACCATTTACCTTAAATCGGACGGAACTATATATAGGAGCTATATCTAAATCTGAACCGATTTTCACGAAACTGAACACACATCATTCTAGACCTAATTCATTACGCTGTGCCAAATTTTGTGCAAATCGAAAGATATATAGGGACTTTGGTGGACCATTTACATTATATCGGACGAAAATATATATGGGAGCTATATCTAAATCTGAACCGATTTTCAGAAAGCCTAACACACATCATTCTATAACTAATTTATTACGCTGTGCCAAATTTCGTGCAAATCGAAAGATATACAGGGACTTTGGTGGACCATTTACATTAAATCGGACGATAATATATATGGGAGCTATATCTAAATCTGAACCGATTTTCAGGATACCTAACACACATCATTCTATAACTAATTTATTACGCCGTGTCAAATTTCGTGCAAATCGAAAGATCTTTAGGGACTTTGGTGCACCATTTACACTAAATCGGACGAAAATATATATGGTAGCTATATCTAAATCTGAACCGATTTTTCCCAATTTCAATAGGGTTCGTCCTTGGGCCAAATAAGTGACCTATGCTAAATTTCATCCAAATCGGATAATAAATGCGACCTGTACTTTGTTCACAAAAATACATGGATCGACTCAGAAAGTGATTCAATGCATATTCTCAAAAGGAACCTTGTGTCTATCTCGTTTCCTTTTGCAAGTTACAAACATATGCACAAAGACATACTAGCCTGTACCACAGTGTGGTGAAGGGTATAAAAAATCCCCTTGCCTATTTTTTTTCCATGTCTATTCTGTATTTTAAATAATTCGACATTGTATACTGTATTATACGACCGATGGTATTCTATTAATGTATTTAACACAATTTAGAAATCCAGGGTTTGACATTTGATTTGAATTCTTAATGGTTCGAAGTGGCTAGTGACTAACTGGGCAAAGTGTCAAGAATAATTAATGCTAATTAAAAATATGCAAATTAAAACAAAAAAAAAAAAAACAAAATTATACATATATGCATATATTAAAGGTTGTAATAAAAATATCTGGTTCGGACGCACAATACCAACGTTAACAGTTTTGATCAAACAAAAAAACTTTTAATTATTTTTATATTTTTTTGTAGGCGAAAATAAAATGAGAGTGTTATTAAAAGTCCGTATTTTGAAAAAATATTTTTAAGGAAAAAGGTATAAGCCTGGAACACATTTCCTTTAAGAAATTAAATATAGAAAAGAATTTAAAATAGCAATTTTTTATAGTCCTCGATTTAAAAAAAAAAAAAAAAATTCAAATATTTACTTGTAATAAATTAATAATATAGAAAATGTACATTTTTTCAATTTAATAAATATTTATTATTATTATTATTTTTAACAATTAAAAAAATAGATCATTTAACATCTAAACAAAAAAACAGCAGGACAGCAGTAGGAACATCTTAGGCGTATTTGGCAACCAATTTGGCGGCGAATTCAATGTATTCCTTCTTGGCGGCTTCTTGGGTCTTGCCCTTTTGCTTGTTCCACCATTCCCACTTGGCTTTGCCCTTCAAGTCCAACATACCGGGCTTGTCGGTGGTGTTGTCGCCAACGGTGGCTTGCTTGAAGAGGGCGTACAATTCCAAGAACTCTTCGTCGGTGGGACGCTTGGTCATGGTCTTGACGCTTTCAGCGGCGGCATTGAATTGCTGGGGAGGAGAAGAAGAACAAAAAATAGAGTTAGGTTAGGTTTCTAGAAGGAACATAAGGGGGAGAACTTACTTCATCCAAAGACATGTTGATTGAGTTTTTTTAATTAACGGTTATCTGCAAAAGAAATAAAGAAGAAGAGGAAGAAGTTATTAATAAAATTGTAAGCCGGCTAGGATTATTTTTAGTTTTAAGTTTTAAGGAGTGCGATCTCTAAGAAATATATTTGAGGAGCGATTTTTTAAGAAATATTTCTGAAGGCGTGGGTATTTTTTTATAAAGACGTGGATTTAAAAAAAATATTTTATGATGCCGAATAATAGGCGTGAATTTTTTATACCCTACACAACTATGTTGTCAGGGTATTATAGTTTTGTGCAGCCTCAAGAGTTTGTAACGCCGCGAAATATTGGTGCTAGACCCACCTTTATGTATACCGATCGTCATATCTCTACTAGCTGAGTCGATATAGATATGTGTGTCCGTCCGCCCATTATTATTTGTAAACAGTTATGGACCAATCTTCACGAAATTCAATTATAGCCCGAACGTCGTGAAATTTTACGTGGAAAAAGGGATCGGGCTAAAGAATAAGCATGCCTGTTTTGATAAAGATTGGTCAATATTTAGCGGGGCGAACGGGCTTTTGTGTGAAAAATTACAAAAATTGTATTTTATGGCGTATATATTTACCCCTGAATGACATAGACCCGAGGAGTTGATAGTATATCCAAGAGAAGTGGTTCACCTTTAAATGGATACCAATTATATTGTCGTATGTTGGAAGTTACACGTAAATATTTACAGGTGCTTATGTATTCAGATATTATTTTGAAACCCATTACCACACTAGTGGGCGGAAATATAGAGCTGATCGCTTTGACATGTTCCATGGACAACGACTACAATTTTCGGTGATGATCAGATAATAATATTGAGATGAAGTGGACCGAAAACTTATTTTTTGTGTGTTTTTCGAGTTGATCTATAGGCCACAATTATAAACCGAACATCACAACACTACCCACGGCGAAAGGAATATGGACAAGTAATTAGAAGGACTGTACTGAATATTTGTAATATTCGGAAAATATGTCAGTGTATGGAAGTAAGAGGCTGTTGACCTCTAATCGGGCAAGAGGGTGCAACTATCAGGCTCGGAATAAAAATCCGCAGAACGTTAGATTTCTGTAATAGTTGTGTAGGGTATCGTATGGTCGGCCCCGTCCGACTATACTGCTCCGCTCACTGGTTTAAATATTAATTTTAAGTCACCACAGAGTATTATGTCTTTGTGCATATGTTTGTAAGAGGCAAAAGGAAACGAGATAGACCCATAGTTTTGAGAATATGCATAGAATCACTTTCTGAGTCGATTTAGGCATGTCCGTCCGTCCGTCTGTTGGTGTTAAATTGTAAACAAAGTACAGATCGCATTTATAATCCAAATTGGATGAAATTTGGCACAGCTCATTTATTTATCTTTCGATTTCCACGAAATTGGGCGTAACGTACTGACTTGAGCCTGGAGTGATGTCTGTCAAGTTTTGTGAAAATTGGTCCAGATTTAGATATAGCTCCCATATATATTTTCGTCCGATTTTATTTAAATGGTGCACCAAAGTTCCTATAATTCTTTCGATTCGAACAAAACTTGGTATAACCTTCTGACTTGAGCCTAGAATTATGTCTGTAAAGTTTTGTGAAAATCGGTCCAGAATTAGATATAGCTTCCATATATATTTTTGTCCGATTTTATGTAAATGGTGCACCAAAGTTCCTATATATCTTTCGATTTGCACGAAATTTGGCATAGCGTACTTAATTGAGTGTAGAATGATGTCTGCCATGTTTTGTGAAAATCGGTCCAGATTTAGATATAGTTCCCATATATATGTTCGTCCGATTTTATGTAAATGGTGCACCTAAGTCCCTATATATCTTTCGATTTGCACGAAATTTGGCATAACGTACTGACTGGAGCCTAGAATAATGTCTGCAAAGTTTTGTGAAAATGTGTTCAGATTTAGATATAGCTTCCATATATAGTTTCGTCCGATTTTATGTAAATGGTGCACGAAAGTCCCTATATATCTTTCGATCTGCACGAAATTTGGCCTAGGGTGATGTCTTCCAAGTTTTGTGAAAATCGGTCCAGAATTAGATATAACTTCCATATATAGTTTCGTCCGATTTTATGTAAATGGTGCACCTAAGTCCCTATATATCTTTCGATTTGCACGAAATTTGGCATAACGTACTGACTTGAGCCTAGAGTGATGTTTGCCAATTTTCGTGAAAATCGGTTCAGATTTATATATAGCTGTAATATATACTTTCGTCCGATTTTAGGTAAATGGTGCACCATGGCCCTATATATCTTTCGAGTTGCACGAAATTTGGCATAACGTACTGAATTGAGCCTAGAGTGATGTCTGTAAAATTTCATGAAAATCGGTTCAGATTTATATATAGTTGTAATATATATTTTCGTCCGATTTTAGGTAAATGGTGCACCAAGGCCCTATATATCTTTCGATTTGCACGAAATTTGGCATAACGTACTGAATTGAGCCTAGAGTGATGTCTGTAAAATTTCATGAAAATCGGTTCAGATTTATATATAGTTGTAATATATATTTTCGTCCGATTTTAGGTAAATGGTGCACCAAGTCCCTATATATCTTTCGATTTGCACGAAATTTGGCATAACGTACTGAATTGAACCTAGAGTGATGTCTGTAAAATTTCATGAAAATCGGTTCAGATTTATATATAGTTGTAATATATATTTTCGTCCGATTTTAGGTAAATGGTGCATCAAGGCCCTATATATCTTTCGATTTGCACGAAATTTGGCATAACGCACTGACTGGAGCCTAGAATGATGTCTGCAAAGTTTTGTGAAAATCGGTTCAGATTTATATAGCTGTAATATATATTTTCGTCCGATTTTATGTAAATTGTGCACCAAAGATCCTATATATATTTCGATTTGCACGAAATTTGGCATAACGCACTGACTTGAGCCTAGAATGATGTCTGCCATGTTTTGTGAAAATCTGTCCAGATTTAGATATTGCTCCTATATATAGTTTCGTCCCATTTTATGTAAATGGTGCACCAGAATTCCTATATATCTTTCGATTTGCACATAATTTGGCATAACGTACTAAATTGAACTAAAACGGCGAATTTTTATTTTTATTTTTTGAATTGGAAGTAAAAAAATTGAGCGTAATACGAGAATATATAATATGGATATTTCCTGAAAAAATCTAGAACTATTTAAAAATTCATCAATAATATAAATTTTGTTACATTGGAATTTGAATATTTAATTCAATATTTTATTTATTCTGTCATACCGGTTTCGCAACTTTTATTCTATACTCGTATTAATTCATTATTTTTTGCCAAGTCATGGTATTATTTCATAAAATGTTTTTTTTTTCAAACCATAACAAGTTTCGAAAATTCCTAAGATACGCTTCTTCTTTAGAAAGTTCATGATTTCATTCGCCATAAATTATTATTTTTGCTTTTTTTATATGGAATCTTCCGATTATTATCACAACTCTATTATCAGCATCTTTATGTCTTTTGATTCTTTTCTTTTTTGACATTTTCAGGAAGTCGATATGAAAGAGAGAGAGGAAAAAAAGCATTTCACCAATTTCATTTCATAGCTAGACAATTGACTTTCTCTAAACGGGGCTTCTCAAACCTCTACTACTTCTTCTACTGCCTCAGTCGGTCGATGGCCGGTGTCGTCTGCAAAGAATAGAAACAGCCACAAACTGTGAACTACCATAACAATGTTAACAGTTATTTCTATGGCCAAATTGTTGTGCGTGTTTTTATTGTAACGACAACAACAGCAACAACAGAACCGGCAACAAACATAAATACCTGATGAAAAGTGGCATTTGCCAAATGATCGACCATAAAAATGGTGTTCAAAATGCTTTAGTCAAGTGTGGAGGAAATCATCAAGAATGTGGCAGGTGTAGTGAATGGTTGGTTTGGTTGAAATTTCATAAAGATTTCTCACAGTGTATTTCGTCTTCATTTCGCCGATGAAGGGTGCCAACATATTAATCATACATAACTCATTACTTTAGTAATTTTTTTTAATAACGATGGGAACTTTTTGTAACGGAAATACAATTCATTTTTCTTTGTTTTGTTTTTCACTTTGTAATAATTCACTTAATGTGGAATGAAGCGTAACGCCCATGTTCATAAGGAGAAAGAAATGAAATCATTACAGCAATGGTAAATTTCCATGGAAGACATTTTTTCTCTTCGACTAGCAATGGATATGAAAAGAGGAAGAAAGAGTAGTGAACTGGGGGGGTTTAAAGTCGAACTTGGTGTAATTGAAACGCGAACTGCACTTCGATGACTTGTGCTTTGGCAGCAGGGAAACTAATAAATAAAAACAACAACAACAGCAAAGAGAAAAAACAAATTTGAAAAAATCACGTAATGAAATCGGTTGTTCGTCGTTGGGATTTAAGAAAAGAAATTTTTTTTTAAAGATTAATGAAAAGAGTGGATTTTTTTTTAAATATTAGACCCAGACCCACCTTTAAGTATACCGATAGCCATATCTCAACTAGCTGAGTCGATCTAGACATGTGTGTCCGTCCGTCCGTCAGTCTGTCCATTATAATTTGTAAACTCGATACAGGCCACAGTTATGGACCAATCTTCACAAAAATTTGCATGTAGGATGGGTTCTGGCCAAGACCCCTATTGTTTTTGGTAAAGATCGGTTAATATTTAGGGCATGAAATGGACCAACTACTTAATTTTTTCAGTTTTTCTGGTCGCTCCAGAGACCGCAATTATGGCCCGAACATCGCGAAATTTTGCATGGAGACCTAGACCTACCATTAAGTATACCGATAGCCATATCTCGACTAGCTGAGTCGATCTAGACATGTGTGTCCGTCCGTCCGTCTGTCCATTATAATTTGTAAACACGATACAGGCCACAGTTATGGACTATTCTTCACGAAATTTTGCATGTAGGAAGGGTTCTGGCCAATGAAGACCCCCATTGTTTTTGGAAAAGATCGGTTAAGATTTAGGGGATGAAATGGACCAAATA